TGTGCCCTGGGGGGTTTGGCACACGGATGTGCCCCCCCTGCCCACCCCAGCGAGGGCTGGCAGGGCTGCCAGACCTCCTGCCAGGCTGCAGCTGGGGCTGGCAGCCGGGAGGGGCACCTAGCATGCTCTGGGAGGCTGGAGGGCTCCCCAGGTAGCAGCAGATGGAGATGCACCTTGCTTGAAGCTTTCTGGTTTGTGCTGTCACCCAGCCTGGCTGCTGTTGGGCAGGGTGTCTCTGCTCGTGGGACCGATGCCACCTTTTGAACTGGCAGCTTGTTTGCCTATTATTTCTGTTACTCTGGGGAGCAGTGGTGGAGTCCCTTCGTTTGCAGGGGCTGAGTCCCAGATCATCCCTGACAGAACCTGCTTTTGATGAAGTGTGGTGAAGAGCTGCCACTGGTTGTTGCATTAAAATAAAGGAGGTGTTTAGTAGCAGTTATTCAGCTGCTGTTGTTGTCTCCTGGCTTTCCAAGACTTTTTTTATATGTTTATATCACCACTGAAAACCTTACCTGGGTTAAAAACAGTAATTCCAGTAGCTGAAGGGCAGAACTCCCGTGGTGTCAGAGATGTTTTGGAGAGGGAATGGTTTACAAGCTTGCCTCTAAACCTGTTCCATTTTCTTCAAAATAGTGCCAGGCCACTCCTCCAGTGACCTGGCTGAGTTCCTGATGTTCCTCCACAGCCCTTGGTCTCTGCCATGGGCCTGCCATGGTTTGTGGTGCCCCCTCTCTGGGGGTCTTCCTGCACTTCTCCTGCTTTCCAGCTGAGCAGAGGTCCCTGCATTTGTGTTTCAGGTGGAGGGCTGGAACCCCTCTGCTGGGAGGCCAGGCTGAGAGAGTTGGGGTTGTTCAGTCTGGAGAAGAGGAGGCTCCAGGGAGACCTTCTGGTGGCCTTCCAGGACTTCAAGGGGCCTGTCAGAAAGCTGGGGAGGGACTTTTGAGCAGGGCCCATTGGGACAGGACAGGGGGGGATGGTTTGAAATTGAAGAAGGTAGATCCACACTAGATAGGAGGAAGAAATGATTGATGCTGAAGGGTGGTGAGCCCTGGCCCAGGTTGCCCAGAGAGGTGGTCACTGCCCCATCCCTGGTCGCTGGAGTCTGTGGGGCTCCTGCATCTTCTCTTTCCACAGTGGGAGCACAGGGTGTGGTTTGCCTTTGCTGGCCCCCTCCCTGATGTGTTTAGCAGGGCTCTCTCTTATTTGAAAGCTCTCTCACTCACTTTTACACTAAGTAAATGAGTGTTGTAAATAATTGAACGGGGTTGGCCCCTGGGATGGCTGCAGCAAATGGCTTCGTGGGCAGGGGGCCAAGTCCTTCCTCTCTGAGAGCAGACCTCTGGCTGCCCCTTCCCCAGCCCACAGCATCTCCAGAGGAGCCCGTGTCCCTCTCCAGGACACCTCACAGGCAGTCACACAGTGGTCAGTGGTTCCTGCAAGGGGAGGGGCTGCTCTCCCTGATGGATGTGTCCCTTTGTGGCAGCTAATTGGACCTCCAGCCCTGTGGGTCCCTCCCAGGCTGGGTTTTCTCTTTGTGTGGTTTTTTTTTTCCCCTGGTCTGTGTAGATGGAGATAACAGGTTGTTAGCACTTGAAACACAAATGCAACCCACCTTTCATGTCTCTTGGCAGACAAGAGTCAACAGCATGTATCATGTTAATTAGCATCCTTCCCAATTTAGTTATCTGAGGTTATACTGGTGGTTGTTGAGGACAAATGAAAGTGATTACCTTTTTTTTCTCAATTAAGGCAAAGAGGCTGAATGCAGCTCTGCTGGGGATGTTCTCAGGAGCACAGGGTGGGAAGGAATGGACATCTCCCTTTGCTGCTGGCCTGGGGGGCTCCAGTCCCTGAGCAGGGCTGAGAGGAGCCTCTACAGCCAGGCACAGACGTGGTCCTGCAGCCACCAGAGGTGGAGGCAGAACTGCCCTCCCCCTGACATGCAGGAGAGGAATGAAGGAGTGACTCTGCCAGGGCCACGTTTGGGGAAGGGTGATTTTAGGGGAGCTTTGAGGGTGGGTTGTGAGACCTGTGGGACACGAGGCTGATGTGCAAAGACAGGGGAGTGTTGCTGAGAGCAGAAGTTGGTGGGATGCAGAGCTGGAGAAAGGGGATAGAAGCTTTTCTGTCTGTCATCCTCGGAGCAAATACATGAAGAAAGAGATAAATACAGAGAAAACCTACTCCAAAGGGAGATTCACTCTGGAAAAGAAAGGGCAGTGCTGGGTCACAGTGCTGCCCAACCCTGCTGCTGTCACTGCTGTTGAGGACATGAGTATCATCATTTTCCCAGCCACGTTAGTATCATTTTTTTTTCCCCAACCAGTTTAATAATCTGAAGAAGGTCTTATTTATATGTAAACAGAAGGTTCCTCCTACAGCATCAGCCTAAGACGTATCCTGAATGCTGTACAAGTAATTAGGGATGTCACAAAAAATGTGCACTTAAGCGTTCAGTCACCTGAAATCCTTCCAACATGCTGGTGAGGCTTTTGTCACTCCAAATGCATAATGCCCAAGACAAATTGACTCAATAGCCTGGTAATTAATTTGCAGTGTCAGCCTTTTGTGAATGTAATTGATTTGATTTTCCTGCCTAGTTTTCCCCAGCCCTTTCCCCACGCTCGCTGCAGCTTTCAGATGCCTTTGAAACAAGGAGCAGCCAGCCAAGAATTCAGCTTTGAAGCTTTTATCCCTCAGTGCACTAAATTTGGGGGGTTTTGAGGAGGTCTAGGACTGTCTCCCTGAGAAGTGCCATGGGGTGCCATGCAAGGCAGAGAGCTGGATCCTCTTCGGTGAGCCACCAGCTCTGCTTTGGGTTCTCTCTGCAAGGAGGGGCTGGAGAAGAGGAGGCTGAGGGGAGATCTCCTGGTGGTCTTCAACTCCTCAGAGGAGGTTGCAGTGAGGTGGGGGTTGGTCTCTTCTCCCAGGTAAGCAGTGATAGGAAATGGGCTGAAGTTGCCCACCAAGCAATGTCCCCAAGCACTGCCAGAGCCAGGAAGGGTTTCAGCTGACTCACTGCAGGCTGGAAGATCTGTGAAAGATTTGACCTCTGACATGGGCTTCTGCAGTGAAAATAGGAAAAGAGACTTCACCCAGTGGGTGCTTTGCTGTGTTTGAGGAAGCAATCAAAAAAAAAATCAATTAAAAATGCTAAATCTTGGGGGTGTTTTGCATGTGGGGAGGAAGTGAGGGGAAGGGACTCCACAGAGCTGAGCAGAGCATGCCAGAGGTGCTGCCTAACTCCAATGGCACTGGGAGGAAATTGGGATATTGGGAGATTGTCCCTCAGGTGCCAAACATCAGCAGGACTTCTGCCAGGTCTCTTACTCATCAGATCTTCCCCAATTTCTGTGTGTAGGCAGCAGGGAGAGGAGGAGTTTGGTTTGAGCTCTGGGCTTGGTACAGCCAGGCTTGGGGACATCTCATTCAGACCAAGGCTCACCTGGTGGGACAACCAATCTCATCTCTTCTTGGCAGGCAGGAGGGCTCCCACAAGTGACCTTGCAGAGCGAGCCCTTGGTGTTGCTGTTCCATTTCCCACTCCCTGCTGTTTGTACAGAAGGGTTATCAAGGCATTAAATTAAAAGTTGTGCCTGGTGGGAAGCTGTTGGATGTTTTGCCCTTTGCTGTCGTGAGGAGAGGCTGGGGAGGCAACCACCAGAAAGGTCAGGGGGGTTTGCTCACCAATATTGCAGTGCTGCTGAGAGGCTCTGACCCACGTTGGGGGCTGGCTGGGGGGGTGCCTGGCATGAGGTGCCAGGGAGGCACTGAGCCTTGAAATTACAGCTCTGCCTTTACCTGCAGGCTGGGGCTGCTGCTGGCATCCTCTGGCTGTAGGTGCTGGTAACACCCACCTGCTGCACACCTACAGCTGCCTTGTTTGCCCAAGGTTTGCTCCAAAGCCTTCCCTCCTCCTCCTCTTCCCCAAAACTACAGGACTGGGCTTCTCTGGGAGCAGTATTTGTCTTCCATCCTCTTCTCCCCACCTCTGTGGCAGTTTCTCTCCAGTCCTGCTGCATCTCTTGGAGCTTTCTCTTCTCTAGTGCTAACACCAAGTGTCCTTCATTACCTGAAACTCCCTGCACATCACTTGTCTACCTTAGAGGAGTTTTGGTGGGGTTTAGAGCCTTAGATGGCTTTTAGAGTCTCTTTAATAGGACAATGAGAGATTTAAGAGACAGATGAGGGCCAAATGGAAGTCAGTGGGAAAATCCTTGTGCTCACTGCAGTGGGAACAGGAACTTGGATCTCTAAGAGCCTTAGGTAAAGTGCTAGTAAGGTGCATGGCCACCCCAAGGCCTGGCTCTGCTGGAGTCATGGATTGTGGTGGATTACCACAGTAAGCAACAGGACACATTGAGCTCCTGTTAGTAGAAGCACCACTAGAACTTGGTGGTGCTGCTGAGCATGGGCAAGCCTCCAACGTGTCCAAAGGCAGCAGTCCCAGGGACTGATGGGGACGAGGTGCCAGCTTGAAGCTTACACCTTCAGGTATGAAGATCTTGCACTTTTTGTGCAGGGAATTGTGCTTAATTTCATGAGGAAGAAAGGGAGGCCTTGCTCTCATTTTGCCTCTGCAAGATGCTTGCTAGTGATCTTCTCCAGATGAAAGGCAGAGAGGAAGGCTTGGTGAGGCAACCTTGTGAGACTGTGTTACAGCACACATGGACTGGCAAAACATTGTTCCAGAGCTTTACTTGGAGTCCCTAAGTAATTAAATTATTGCTGTTGCTGTTATATCACTGTTGTTATTGTAGCAGGACATGAAGTTGGCATGAACAGGGGCAGCCTGGGAGCCAGGCAACACACAGGTACCTCTAGGAGATACCAGCTCTGCTGGAGAAAGCCTTTAGAAATGTTGACAACTTCTTATCCATTTCAGTACAGGGCTGTTGCCCATCATCTCCCTGCTCCTGTGGCTCTGCACGTCTCCTGCACCCTGCCCCTGACACGGGGTGCTGGGCAGGATCTGAGTTTGTGTCTCCTCTTGGTTCCAGATTGACAAGTACGCTCAGCGGGACCTGAAGAAAGGGCTGCACCTCTATGGCACAGATGGGAACATTGGCCTGACCAACGCCTGGAGCATCATTCAGACAGATGTAAGTCTGAGCTTGGGGGTTGTTTCTTCCTCTTTACTCTCTGGGTTCTGTAACAACAAGCTCTGGGTGTGAACCTGTTTAAACCTCCAGGTCCCGAGCCTGTCCCTTCCACCCAGGCCCTGCATGAGCAACTAAACTCTCTGAGTTTTGACACAAATGGCAATTTTTGTTGGTTTCTCCTTTGACTAGGATGGCTCATTTGTTTCAGAAATGTTTATTGTGTTGGGACCCCAATACCATACAGTTCTGTGCTGGGTGGGGAGTGCAGGGGGTGGTCAAGACAGCAAAGGAGCAGAACCTTCTTCAAAGTCAAAGGGACAACCTGGGTTGGAATGAAGAGGAACAGTGTGATAACAAAGAACCTCTTCAGCCCTGTTCCCTTTCTGCCCTGTCTCCTTCTGTTGCTGTTGTTGGTCTCCACCAGTGTAGCCAATATGGAACAACCTCCTGCTCCAGTCAGGATGCACTTCCCAGCAGAACTGAACCATCCTCCACCATGGGAACCTTCTCCTGGTTCTCTGCCAGCACTCTGCCAGCATTTGCCTGGTCAGGAGTGCTGAACACCAGAGCTGGGCTCCTCCTCCTCCTCCTGTCCTTGCCTGGCTTGCTGAGGAAACCCCACCACTGGCAGCTCTGGCTTATCAGCCCTGTCCTTCTCTTTTCATGTTCACTTCAAGCAGCTCTCTTGGGGGTGATCTAGGGTTAGGGTTTGATGTTTCTCTACCTCTTGAATAAGGAAAGGTGCTCCAGCTTTCCCCCTGCTTTAGGGAGAGGTGCTTGTACTGCCTCAGGTTCACTCAAAACTTGGTGCACAGCTTTCTCACAGTCTCCCCCAGAGGTGCTGGTGTGGCACAGACTGGCTTGAGTAATAACCCCTTCAGATAACCCCTGCCAGTGCTCCCAAGGTTGTGTGAGCTGTTGGAGATGATGGATGGGCAGCCTGCCACACTCTGATACAACAAACCTGCTCGTTCACCCTTTTCATCCCCTGTGGCCATTTGGGCTGAACTCCTGGACATCATTCATTCTGGTGGTGTCAAGATTCACATACACTCCTCTGTGCAATGCAAGGAGCAGCAGGCTGCTAAGGAGAGACCTGAGAAATTAAAGATTTGGGGTCACTGACAGAAGGAGAAGAGCTGGTTGGCCCAACTCCACGTGCATCTTTGGGGCTGTCCAACCAGTCGGTTGACAGCAAGAATCCTGCACCTGAAAGACAACCAGCAAACCCACCAGGGAGCTCTCCATCCTGCAGCCCAGGACTGCCTGGGGAAGGTGCTTCTGGTGGCCTCTCAAAGGCCTCAGCATCTTGCAGCAGTTTTTCTCTTCCAGTGCTATGAGCAAATAGGAGAAGGCATCAGTTACTGGCAGGAGAAATGCATTTTGTGGTGCTAGCCATGGGAAA